AGACCTGGAGGAGGCTGTCTCAGAAGAATTGAGTAAGGGGAGACAAGATTTGTTCTTCCTAGGTACCATTCAAGGTATTCAAGGAATAACTTGAATGATACTCATAAACAGATCAGTCATGATCTGCATTACTCAAAGATACACTCAGAGATGTCCCTTTCTGTTAATGACTGTGAGTGTCCATGATTCAGCTGCGAAAAAAATTGGACTTTTCAGAGAAATTTTTTCATTTTTTTCTTTTTTTTTTTTTTAAAGTGCATGCAAAAGAAGTAAAGCCTTTTTTTTTCATCTTTTTATTGTAAGAAAATACACAGTTTGAAAGTGTGAATAATGCAATATTTATGACCAAGATCATGGGGTCGGGGGTGGTCTTGGGGGAGGAACAGTAACAACGAAAAGAAAGAAATAAAAGAAAGAAAAAAAAAAAGAAAAAGGGCTTGGGATGATCAAACAGACAAGTGTTGAACTCCCAGTACTGAACTGGAGAGTACTGGGTGGGGTGGCTGGGAGCAGGAGGGAAAAGGGGAGGAAAGAAGTAAAAAAATTTCTTGATCAGAGAAACAGTTAAAATACAATATGAAAATAAGTAAAAGCTCTCCTTAAATTCCTTCTATACACAAAATACACGATTTGACGAAGCCCGATTTGTGCTACTGGGATCCCGTGGGCTCATTTTAAGTGTATTCCCATTCTCTGCGACAGCAGAAAATGATTATGATACAATCAAGAATATGCCGAGGGCTGAGGTCTCGTCCCCGCCTCGCCTGGCATTGGTTCTTCTAAAAATCACCGGATCGGCGCCCCCGCTCCCTCCCCACCCCCCAAAAAAAGTAATAATATGTCACCACTGATATGTACAGCACGATTAAGTATTTTTTTTCTTTTTTTTCTGTAAAATGTATCAAATTTTTTTTTCTCAATCTTTAATAAAACATTTTTTTATTATTATTTAATTATTCCTGATGAATAAATACCAAAAAAATAAAAATAAAATAAAATTATGCAGCAGCTAGTTAAGGTAAGGCTGCGGATTTAGTCTCTCTCCCCCTGGGTTCATATATATCTTTTGATTATTAGTATTTTTTTGCTTGTACTTTTTCATCGATTGGTGGCAAAATGAGTGATTGCTCAAAAAGCAACAGACATCACTTTTTTTTTTTTTTTTTTCCATTTTTCTCCATTAAA